AGTTGTTGTGGTAATAGAACATGGGAGGGTCGGCAAAGATATGGATCTTCAGATACTTCCATGTGTCCTTCAGTTATTCAAGGGTCAAGTCTGAGAATCACATTCACTGTACAACTGTTTAAAGTCCCACATGCCTCTCACTTATGTCTTTTCAGGGACCCTCCAGAAACCCAGCATCTGGGCTGAGCCAGGCTCTGTGATCACCTCAGGGAATCCTGTGACAATCTGGTGTGAGGGAACTAAGGAAACCCAAATATATTTCCTGTATAAAGTAGGAAGCCCAGCACCCTTGGACAGATTAACTGCACCAGTGCCTGATCACAGAGCCAAGTTTATCATCCCATCCATGAGAGAGAATAATGCAGGGCGATATCACTGTTACTGTTATAACTCTGCTGGGTGGACTGAGAAGAGTGACACCCTGGAGCTGGTGGTGACAGGTGAGTGGAGTCTCAGGAATCATATGAATGTCCAGATGTGACTCTTTGGAAATGTCTGCTCTGAATGTATCCCCACTCATTACTTAGGTCTTGGGACAATCCAGACTGTGTGAACCCATTTAATAGTCCATATGTATCTCTCCTAGGAGTCTACAACAAACCCACCCTGTCTGCACTGCCAAACCCTGTTGTAACCTTAGGAGGGTCTGTGACCCTCTCATGTATCTCAAATCAGGGATATGGCAGGTTCATTTTAATTAAGGACAAGCAGTTCTACAGCTCCATGGACTCACAATATGTATATACTGATCAGGCATCAGCCAGATTCCAAGTGGGTCCCATCACACTCAGTGAAAGATGGAGTTTCAGATGCTATGGCTATCACACAAGGAAGCCTCAAGTGTGGTCAGAAGGGAGTGACATTCTAGAGCTTCTTGTCTCAGGTGAGTAAGCCACATCTCTTCTATTGAATGACACTGAACCTGAAACAGGTTTCCCCAGGAGACCCTAATGTGTGATAAGTATAGAGAAAGAATGGTTTCTGAGCCCACATATACAGATGCAGACTATGGGAGTCAAGATACAGAAAGTACTGAGGGGTGTTCTCAGAAGGGAAATTGGGAGTGTGATAGAGAGAAGGGTTTTCTGAGGATTCCATATGCCATGTTATTCAAGGGTCAAGTCCAAGTATCATATCCACTGTGCAACAGTTTAAATTCCCACATGCCTCTCACCTACTTCTTTGTAGGGACCTTCCAGAAACCCAGAATCTGGGCTGAGCCAAGCTCTGTGATCACCTCAGGGAATCCTGTGACAATCTGGTGTGCAGGAACACTAGAAACCCATA